TTAATGCATCAAAATTTACTACATTTTTTCTTTAAATTATTTTTTCTAAAGATACATTGATTTTATATATACAGAACTAGAGTACAGGCCAGATTTGCAGGGGTGGTGAGAAAATTCACCAGACACAGAGTAGGGAGCTGTTAGAACAGGCCATGTGGGTCACCTTCCTGGCCAGGGATTGAAATTGTGATGAAGCGGCTGCAGCTAGCTTTGTATTGCTATGCTTTAACCCATTGCACCACAAGGGAGAGCCCTAAATTATTTTTTAACTAAAAACTTTTTTTAGGGCCTCCCTGGTGGCTCAAGGGGTTAAGTCTCAGCACTATGAAACTGTCCTCAGCCCTGGCAGCACAAGTCTATAAGCTGACCCACATGGCTCAACAGACCTCTCCTGACCTGCCCACTGTTCCCCACAGCAGTGTACTTCAGTCAACCTGTTTGTTCTGCTCTCCACTGTCTCTGGTGAATCCTCTCAACATCCCAGCACCTCTGGCCTGTACCTTGGTTCTTATATGCATAAGTAAATCTTTAAAACAACAGCAAGAACCCTTTTTATTACATTGAGGCAACATTGGTTTGTAAGTGTGTATGATTCAGAGGCGTAGGATCACACCTCCTTAGACACACATTACCATACCACACCCCACCCATCACCAAGTGCTTCAGCCTTCAGCCCTCCTAGTCTGTTCTTTCAAACAGTTAACACTTCAGGCAAGGGTGTGGGGAAGGTGAGATCTGGAGTAAAATCTGTTTTTTTTTACATAAATATCCTAATATTTATATTTTAAATTTTTCAAATATAACTTTATATATATATTTTACATATTGTTCATTTTTGTACAGTGCGTGCTTTCTCCTCTCAGTGTATTCCCCATAAAATTCCTACCACTAATTTAACCATGCACCATCACCATAGTTGTGCTCTTCCTACCCATTTTGATCCCTCTTCCTCCCCAGCCCTATAGAATATCTCTGATTTTTAGTTGCCTGTTATGAACTTACTACTTTTTCAACTGCATGTCTTTCATTTTTCATTTGCCCTTTCAATCCTCAGGACTTACACATATTTTTAGCACTTTATAAAAGTACATATTAAAAAATCTCTGCTATGCATTAAATCTATATTAGAGCAAGCTGAATTTGATAGTCCTCAGGACACTGGTGGCTTTTTGTGTGTGCATTGCAATTGTTATTCCTAAATTCTACATTTTTTTCCCTTTTTATTGTTTTAGGCCTCATTTGAATTTGGGCAAAAGGGTATGTAGACAGCATAGAACTGAAATACTACCATAGGCTTTCTTATAAGTAAATGATTCTTAAGTAGTGAAAGGAAAGAATACAATAGTTCAATGAGTAAAATAAAGTATTAAGTGTTGGCTGCTGCAGAGTAGGAGGAGGCAAGTAGAATGATTCTATAATTTTTTTAATTTGAAAAATTAACTTAAAAAGTTTAGAATGATTCTATATTTTTAAAAATTTATTTTACATCATTCTTCACTTTGTGCATTTTTCCATCTCGGTTGTACTCCCTGTGGACTTAACACCACCAACTCACCCATGTGACATCACCATAGTCCTGTGGTGCATCTTTCTCACCCATTTGCCTTCTCTACCCCCATAAAATATATCTGGTATGTGGTTCACTGTTTTTCGTATAGTACAACTGCTCCCCTCCCCCTCACATC